ATATATATATATATATGACTAAAATGCTATCAACATACATACCAAAGTAAAACAATTTTATGATTGTCTACAAAGCATAACTACATCTTTATTCATAAAAAAATTATAATTTTCTTTCAATATTTACTCACTGTAAATTTTACAACACTATTTCAAATTTTACCAGAATAGAGATAAGTATTTTTTTCAAAGAAAAAAAAAATAGTTCAGCGGAAAACTGTCCGAAACAAAAAATTTTGTTACGTGAAAAATAATTCTGTATCAGATTTTAAAAATTTACTATTATATTAACATTATTTTGAAACAGGTAATTCTGAGAGTCTTAAAATATTCTTACAATTTACCTAATTTAAGCAGTAATTAGTATCAGACACAAGAATCATTGAAAGCATTTTTTTTTTAAATGGCAAGCATGAAAAATTACAGTATTTTAGTGGACCCCCATTAAAAAAATACAATTTTTTTAAAATTAAAATAAAAGATTATTTTAGCAGGTTGTCTTAGTAACTAAAAAGGGTGATACATTAAAATATTCTTGGGTCTTGAAAGAACTTGACATTTAAATATTTTAGAGTTTAAATATTTAGATATTAAATATATTACTAAAAATATTCAGAAATGAATTGAGTTGACAGTTTTTTTGATATTAAAAGTATGCTAAAATATACACCAAAAATGTAAAATATTCTAAATTGAAATAAAATTTTTTTTTTTTAAAAAATGCAAATAAGGTGCAAATTTTATTCGGTAAGAAGCCACAACATTTTTATAAAAACGGCTTTCAAAATAATTTTGCAATTTTCTTATCTTTGATAAAATATACCTTAACATTAAATTGAAAAACACATAAAAAGAACAATTCAAAAGGAATACTATTACTTTTTAATCTTCTATCTTACGTATATTTAGGTAGATGAAAATATATAAAAACAAAAAGAATACACTAAAATCCATTAAATTCTGTATCCGAATCAAATTCTCGACAAAATTCTGCTCAGTTATCGGAAGGTCCAGATATGCATCGTCCTCACTTCTGATGTCTTCATCCATATTATCAGATTAAATGACCTTCACTCTCATAGATATTGTTACTGACGCAATATTTTTTAAAAGATAAAATTACGACAAGGAAAGGTACATGCTTTTTTTACCCACTGTGCAACCATTACTAGATCTTTTCGTTACTATAAGAGAGAGGGTATATTTTTATTTCCAAGCATTGCATGCCTTATTTTTTTTAACATTGGCTTATATATATATATAAATATATATGTGCTCCTCACACTATTGCATTGATATATTTGGCTATATTGATGCAATATCAGAAAGCACTCTTTTTTGCGTGTGGGCTAATGAAACGATTATATCTTTTATTTTCCGGATTTTTAAAAAATTTTTTATCCCTTTTTTAAAACATTTTTTCCCCCAGTTGTTTGTTATTTTTTTATTATTATTTTTCTTTCCCACCCTTTCTCATATGTCTATAATTTTCCTTCGTTTCATCTTCATTTTGAACTGATCTTATGAGTGTTCTGATTACTTGCAGCTTATGCGCAATAAATGAAACTTATCTTTATTATTATATACATGAGTGAATTCAAATCTAGTGAAACTCATCTTTATTATTTTCTTAATTTTCTTCGTGTTTTTTTGTATTTATATTGCTATATATATATATATACACACGAGTTTTGAATTTTTGATGAATTTCAAGATAAAAAGTGCACCCTTCGACTTAGATGAGTTAAAATTCAGAAATGTACGGCATATATTTTTTTTCTTCAAAAATACATTTTAATTTTCATATTTCTAGTTTAATTTTCTTTATTTATTTTTTTAGTTTAATGTTTGACCAAAAATATGTTTTTGTCAAATTTATTTAAGACATTTCGTTTGATATTTTTTAGTTTAATGTTTCTATTTTATTATTTCCTTAAAATTAGTTTTTATCGATGGCAGATGTATTATCAAGCTCTCCAGTACATATTATTAAATTGTATCTTTAGGTGTATTAATGATATTTAGATTTCCCATGTAAGAAGTTTTTAACATCATATATTTTTTCAAATAATTCTTTATTTGCTTTTTTATCTTTTGGGGTAAATGTTAATTCTACTTTATTGTATAACTATCTATTTATATACATGAGTGAATTCAAATCTATGTCTGAATCAAAATGTAAATTATGCCTAAATCAAAATGTTTTTGAGTAGCGAAATTTTTTTTTTACGCAGTTATGATCAAAATGTTGTGTCATTGAAATGTATTCCCCAGCGTTAACAAATTTAAATGAGAAAATTATAAAATTCATTAATTAAAATCTTTCAGATTTAATTAATTTAAAAAAAAAAAATTTGCTTCCCAGAGGTAAATTATTTTTTGTTAACTATTCTGATGGTATAAAAAGATTAGATTAACTATAAGATCGTCATAATCACCTAAAAGACTTTAAGCAGATAAAATTTTGGAAAACTGTTTCACATTTAAAATGATAATATATAATTACTATTCATAAAATGATACGTATTTCAAAATAATAAAATGAGTAAAAGTTTATGACCCTTGGCATTGGCCGCTACCTAAGAAAAGTTGGCACGTTCTGTTGGAAACAATTCAGTATATGGTGATAGTGAATCAGAAATATTAAAAGATGCTACAGTATCAGGAGATCCATCAGAAAAGGAAAATGACTAAACAGAAAAACTTTAGCGAAACGTAAAATCAAATAAAAAAGCAAAGATAAGGACATTGTAAGATTTAACTGCTTTATGAATAAATACATATTATACAACTTTTAAGATATCAGTACAGTTAGTCATTTGACTGAAATGTTAAAAAAATAATTGATATTCAATTTCCAATATTCCAAAAGTTTCGGTCTCACTTTGAGTTTGTAACATATAGGTTTGACTGTATATTAGAATCGGATTTTAACAATTCTCCAGTCAAATACTCCTAAAAATATTATTATACTTATTTGTAATTAATAATTATACTAGAAACTTATGAATATATGATTCAGTAACTTACAACAGGTTGAATATTCGAAGGCAAATCTGAAAAGTCATGTTCTTGGAATTCAAATATACTTGTATCAGATTTTAATAAATCATCTGGATCAATACTTAAATCTGGTATATCTTCAACTACTTTTCTTCCAGCGAAATCGAAAGTGAAAGCGTTATTTCGGCGACTATGCATTTTATCATGCATTTCCTCCTTTTTCTTATTTAATATTTTTCTTTCTTTTTCAGAAAGCCACTGTGAATTCACATGAAAATAATCATTTTCATCATCAATAACTTTAGTTCTTCTCTCTCTGAAATTGAGGATATAGGAAATTGAGGAATTGAAGGAATAGATTGAAAAAAAACAGCACATACAGTGTTTTTGCTAGAAAATTTTTGGATTATTTTCTCATAAATCTATTTTTTAAAGCATTTTAAATCTTTTTTTAAAGTAAATTATGTCATACATACACCTCATATATGTCTAAATATAGTTTTTTAGAAATCATGTTGCGAAAATGTATATATAGCACGTGTTTCATTTTGTGATATTTTATTATCAACGTTAAGTTCGATAAATTAAAACAATACATATAATATGACAGTTTAATAAGAAAAAGCAAAAAATTTATAACTAAAAAGAAAACATGAATAGTAAAATATATGTTACATATAAAAGCAAAAATAACCTAGCTTTTTCCTAAAACCTTTTAACAAGTTTGATAAATTTAAAGAATAGCCGTGATGGCTCGGAAGTTAGGGCACTGAGCTATTGTTGAAAAAAAAAAATGGAGATTAATACCCAGTGGGGGCTTGAAGTTTACGTAGCTTTAGATTGATGTGTACAAGCTGGTCTGGGAAATAAAGGTTGGTTGTGCACAATATCGACTACATTCTCAACATCATGCTGTTTATCACATGATTATGGAATCTTAATCACCATGATCCCTGACGGGTTGTTGCAAGAATACTTTAGATTTAAAGAATGATTAATATTCTCACATTCTTAAATTTGAAAATTCTAATTACTAAACTCTGTGGCAGAAGTTTTTTGAGCTACCTGCAACAAAACTCTCTAGCACTAATATCTTTCTGCAAGACACTTTTAATAATAACAAACATATATGCTATTAATTTAAAATTTATAAAAAAGCGCTGTGTATACAAAGAAAAAGCCATAATATATATTTTTTTAATTGCTCATGTAATAATTTTTTATTCTAATATTGTAGGTGATATTCTTGCATTCTGTTGGGGGGCAGGAACGCACAAATCATTTCCTTCTTCGCATTTTGTAAATAATTAACACAGTAAAAAAATAATTAAAAATCATGGAATCCGTAGTAGTAATTGCTGTAAAAAAAATCGAAGACGAAATCACGTGAATCGGACTCCTCAAAAGAATTTTTTTGAGCTATCTGCAACAAAACTCTCTAGCACTAATATCTTTCTGCAAGATACTTTTAATAATAACAAACATATATGCTACTAATTTAAAATTTATAAAAAAGCGCTGTGTATACAAAGAAAAAGCCCATAATATATATTTTTTTAATTGCACATGTAATAATTTTTTATTCTAATATTGTAGGTGATATTCTTGCATTTCGTTGGGGGACGGGAACGCACAAATCATTTCTTTCTTCGCCTTTTGTAAATAATTAACACAGTAAAAAAATAATTAAAAATCATGGAATCCGCAGTAGTAATTGCAGAAAAAAAGATCAAAGACGAAATCATGTGAATCGAGCTCCTGAAATGCGAATTTCGTATCGAGATTAGGTTGTTGTAATAAATAATGTTGTATAAAAAATATCGGACTTAAAAACTATGGGGTAATTAATAGCAATAAATGCCAAAAATTCGATAGAATTACTGCCTTAAAATGTAAATACTCAAATGCACGATTCGAATTTCCCATATTGTTTGAAATCTATTACGATATTTAAAATCTACGACAAAATCACTAACTGCTGAAAATACAATCGAAACATTGCATCGATTTACTATCGGGGTAAATTGAGAGCATCAAAAAGTGATTATCTAAATGCATGATATGAATATTCCATGTAAATTTCTGTAGAAAAGAAAAGAAATGTTTTTTTTTGCTTTCCAAAATAAAAAATTTTCTGTAAGAACTCAATAACGTTCTGCGACAATATCGCCGTGATTTTGCCGCAGGGTTACTAAATAATTGTGTTTTTAAAGAGAGTATTATAAAAAAAAATTTTAAATTACACATTTATATTGTAACACATCTTACAAACACTCATATATAAATATATTAAAGAAAATTGCTACAATTAACCTGACCTGCCTTTGGGGTGAGTTAAGCAGAACCTTGATATCTATATTTCTAAAAGTCATTGAAGAATCATGGCTATGATATCATAAAAGGATTTCTTAATAACAATAGTGATTTTTTTAAAAAAATTAGTTTTGGTATTAAAAGTTTGAAAACTTTATTTTCTATTTCAATCATTTGGAAAAATGCAAAATGTCTTCACATTTCTAATTATAGAAATGAAAATCATAATATTAAATAATAAGATAAATTTAAACATTTTTAGATGATTATATTAGCAGGGGTTTTTAAACCTAAAACTTCTTTCTTCTAAAGGTTTAGGGCCAGATACATCAGGGATATATATAATTTATAAGATAATCAAAAACTTGAAACAAAATAATAATAATAACATGAGAGTTTAAATTGTTATATATGAGAGTTATAAATTGTCTGTTTTAATGAATGATATTTAAAAACAAAATCATAATTGTTTGGGTTAAAAAGTTAAATTGTCATAAATGTAGGGATCTTAAGGCAATTTTTTAAGCCAACATAACAATGGGATCAGGATATAAAACACAACAGAAAATAGAATAGCATCTTAAGGAAAAAGAGAAAACTGTCAAGAAAATGAAAAAAGGAACATAGTTAAAGAAAATGTATTGCATTTTTGCAACTTAGTACATTAAAAATCAGTAAGAAAAAAAAAAGAAAATCTGAAAAATTAGGAACTTTAAGATAGAAACAGAAAATGTATAAATACTACTGGTACTTTTCTATTTTGCTGGTGCGAGCATTTCAGCATTTTAAAATTTTATTTTATTTCTTTAAGTTTTTTTTTAAGCTAACGAAACCAAAAAAAATTACATTTACATAAATCCGGTGACTTTTCATTGTCAACTTTATTGCTCACGCTGGCGAAATAGAAAAGTACCATGCTACTTTATGCATTATTTTAAAGGGCAACTTTTTGGACGTGCTAAATATTTGTTTATCTAATGTGTATGGACCTCATTTAGTTCATCTTAAAAAATAGTTGAGCTGTATTTACTTTTCTTGAATTGGCAATTTCTACCCAGGGCATTTAATCACTTCTTTTAAGTACAAAGAGAGAGTTTTCAGTTTAACAAAACAGAGATTTTAGAAAGTATTTTTGAGTAGCTGTGAGATAGGTGTAGCTGTAAGGTATACAAATTTATATTTTTACATGACACAATATCTTCTTTAAGGAGCTAATAACCAAGAAATATATTTTGTAGTATATAAAGCTTTTATGTAGTATTCTGAAGTACAACTATAAAAAGTACCAGATAAAATTGAAAAAGATAATGAAAACTATACATACGCATTACGGTCATATTCAATTAGTTTGTCTCGATGTTGAATAGCACTTTGAAGTTTAGAGTCCAATTTAACATTCATATCAATAGTCTCATTGTTTGAATCTGTACTCATTAATTTATTATAGAGTTTGAAGCTTTGTTTACTCTGGCGTGCAATTATTTCTTGTTCTCCTCTAGTGCAAACCTTAAAAAAATTTAATAAGGATAACATTTAGTAACATATATATAGACAGATAACAAAAACATTAATATGGCAATATTCTTTTTCAGAATGTATTTTTAAACCAGTACGAATTAAAAAAGTAAGAAAATCTCCGGTAGTTTAAAATTTTAACTAATAATTGTTTTAAAATATCAGCTTCGGAAGAAAGTTCGAACTAGGTTAACGGAACTTTGATACCTTAGCCTTTTTTAACCCTTTCGCGCCTAATGGGACACATACGCCCCAAGCAAATTTCAAAAAACTCGCTTGGGACAGAAACCCTTCCCTGTCTAATGGGAGACTTTCCCACCCGTGCTGCCAATATTTTTAAAGGTATTTTCATTCACAGAACATAGATGGCGCTATCGTGCATAATGTTGCTTTGCCCTACTCATAGTTTATACTACCAAAATTGTTCCGTTGTAAAAAAAACAACTCGCCGCAAAAGGGTTGAAAGCTTTAGAACTGATTTGTTACCAGTATGCTCCTGCTTTTTGGTGATTTTTTTACTGCCAACCAGTTTTGGCATATTTCCATTGGTGCCAATTTCAAGACACCCCAGATTGGAATCAAATATTGCAGTCAAATAAAATTTTCATTTATCAGAATGTTATCATTGTAACTGAGAAAAAAAAACTCCATTGCACTGATAAAGGAGTACCAAAACTTTTATCATGTGTATGTGCAAGCATGTCATATTGCTGCAATAAATCAACAGAATCTTGGCATTTTAGTAGAACTCAAAATAACACAAACATGTGACAGAATGAAAGAAATACTGAAATGGTTTAAAGAAGCCAAGTTGTCAACATATTTTAAGATATTAATGCACAATTACACAAAAAGATACTGAAAATTCACATGTCTGATAACATGTTTTAAGCATGCAGTTAGCAAAAATGGAATGCCCGTTGAATGCATGCCATGATTAAATAAAATTTTAGATGTTCTTTACATGAGCCCTTGTACCTGGAGGTGAAAATTAGAACTAATTTTTTGAAAGCAAATTTCTTTTCCCATAATCTATTTTTACGAAGTTTCATTGATATCTGTCCATGAAAATTGAGTTGGTATTGGTTTTAATAGAGTGACTTTTATAATGGTTATATTCAACATTGCATTATCATATTTGACAGGGCATATTTCGAAAAATGGTATAGTTGCTTGATTATTTGTCAGTTATTGTTGTGTGTGGGATAACGTAAAATTCAGGGTACCAAAAAATAGAAGTATATTTTTCAAAAATTGACACTCACGAGATGAACTAATAGAAAAAAGTGTAACCTTAACATATTTTTTACTTTTAGATACAATTTCAACATGTTTTTTACTTTTAGATACAATTTCAACATGTTTTTTACTTATAGATGCAAAAAAAACAAAACAAATTCAGAGCTTCCAGAACATTTATTTTTGAATGAGGAGAATCTTGCATGCTATCAGAAATTAGAAAAAAGAACATCTACCAAATAAGTTGTTAAGTGACAAGTTCTTTAATTTATTGTATAATTTCAAGATTCGAAGTCTGAAGTTTGTTAAAAAATTCAACTAACAAATTTTACAATTTAAGCTTCCATACTTCCACCTACCCACCCTTTTTGTGCTTTGTCCATTACACAACCTTTCTCATTTTGACTTAAGGGGGGAAATCCCTCTCACAGACCAAGGGACAATAAGATTGAATAGAAGAATGTCAGAAAATCTGCAGACAGCAAATAAAGTCTCTTTTTTTTAAGAAGAAAAAAGAAAACGTGGGAAAGTTAATGCCAGCTTCGTAGGGAAAAAATTATTTCCATTTGTTAGAAGAACACATTAAAAAGGGTAACTTTTCAAAAAAAAAAAAAAATGATAATAATAAATAAATAAAAAAAGGCATAGCTTCAAATTTAACATTACTCATATAGGCAATTTTTCCGGACCAGCAGAAAATGACATAGGAAGATGGAAAATGACATTGTAGAAAATTACAAGGGGATATTTCTGTATTGTGACCTGTCAGACCGACTACAATCGCCAAGGTGCCAAATAGATTTTAAACTTGCAAATTTTTTTTGTAATGAAAACCTGTAGAGATTTGCCCGGGGGTGGCTACTAGTTATGCCTTTCAAGATGTTCCCGTTCTGCGAAGTTTTTTTTTTTTTAGTTTCTCAGGAGCCACTGCCCGAAAGTATGCCCAGACTTGGCAATTATTCTGCCACAGATCACGATACTGAAATCTTGCCAATTACATAGTGTGACGCTTATCGTCACTTAATTCAGAATCACAATAAAACATTTAAAATAGATTTATCGTAAATTGCAAAATAATTGATTAGATTTAAAATACTGTGGAAACTTCCATTAGTACATAGAACTTAAGCAAATACAAATAAACTCTCTTGATTAAAGTTAAGAAATACGTGTCGGAAAGGGTTAATCAGAAGTTTATAGTCCAAGTTTGATCTCTTGTGTGACCTTTCCAGAATTTAGCAATAGTCTTATCTAGCAAAAAGTTTAGTATAAAAGATAAAAAAAAGACAACAAAAACGGTAGCAGTAGTAGTAGAGAGAGTAGAACCGAGTCATTTTGAGGTTCACCAACTTCCAATATGAACATCAGTATGGGTAAGTTCTCTCCATGCCAATTAGTTTATTTGTTACCAATCAAAGCCTTTTAATTAATTTGTTATTTAAATTTTGTATTTTATTAAAGTGTTATTAATCTAAGTATTTTAAATAGTTGAAGTATGTAAATTAATTCGACAATATATGCATAAAATAAAACGATCACAGGTTAAATTGATAAGTAGTAGTTTTGTGTCTGTATACCACCGTAACAATAGTCCTCCTCAATATTTCAGTTAAATAAAGAAAATTTTCATAAACCACTGATTTAAATTATTATAAACAAGGAAAAAATAAAGAGATTTTTTTTTAATATGCCAAATTTAGGAATTACAAATTTTCTGAGCATTCTAATTTTGTCCTCCTGAAAAATTTAAACCATGGGGCAGTCTTTGCATTAAGTAGGATTTATTTTATCCCCTTATGAAGCAATATGAATGTGGTTGCCAATATAAAAATTAAACACAATATTTGTATGAAAATTTCTTGCATTTACCAAATGTTTACAAGTGAAACAAGGACCAGATCCTTCTTGCTCACAAACAATACGGCCGCATTTCAGGCAGTTATTTATTAAATTGTGCCTAGAAGCTTCACATGTACATGGTCTCCTGCCAGGAAGAAGATATTTATCCTGGGCTAAATCAGATGCACTCAAAGGAACAAATTTTGAACTTTTTCCTGATTTCCTCATGATCTATTTTCAAAACTGAAAAGTAATTTACAACAATTAAAATAAATGATGTTAAAGCAGGAATGGTCAATTATTTTTGAGTAATAACCTAATAAATTGAATTTGTTAAAAAATAAATTTATTTAAGACTAAAATCAATCATAGTCTGCAAAAAGCATTCAGAGAAAAAAAACTTAATCACATAATCTGAAAAACGATACAAAACGCCTCCATAAACTTCCTATAAATTTATATGATTTATTCTCACTTCTTTCATTATTTACATTTTACAATGTTTAAAGTAGCAGATGTAGATACCTGTTACTCACACACTAGTACCCGTTCTTAATTTTTACTAGTTATAAAAAGGAAATTTTTTTTTTACTGTTTTACCTTTTCTTGATCCCTATTGGTTACAAGATGTAAAAGTTCCTACAGCGACTGCGCAAAGTGCTATTGCTCCGCCTATCACATGAATTTGCATCTGTCAACAAATACAACATGGAAACATTGTAAGCGTGATTAGAAACAAGCACGTGTCATCGGTTATCATATCGTTTAAATTGAGAGGTATTTATTTAAATTAAGATGTTGCAATTAAGAAGTGTTTTGTTATATCATTATTTAGTTGTTGAATATCATTTAAACTAATTTATTAATGTGAAAAATTCTTGATCATACTGACTCAATTTACAATTTATTTTACATTATTGATGTAATTATAATAAAATAAGTACCTATAAATAATCTTAACGATGTACTTATTTAGAATACATGTTTTAATAAAGCATATAAATTTAACATGCTCATGAAACTAGGAATGTTATGAGGAGTTGAATCAAAATTTTTATACATAAGATGTATAAATCATAATATATTGTATTTACACATGCATTAAACTGCTTTTATGATAAAATTTGCTAATTATAATAAAATCAAAATTAATTAATTTGGCAAATGTTATAAATTATTATAAAATTAGATTATTTTCTTATACCTGGGTATTTCCTTTAGCTCACAGTGTAAGTGTTATTTTGCAAAATCTTTTAAAAACTATTAGTGCCATGTCCATTCAAAAATTAATCTAAATTAAATAAAGTAACCCTCTGTTTGATATTAGATTCTTTGAAATAACAGTCTATGTAGTATCATCCTTGTTTTTTTTTTTTTTTTAAAGGAGATTGTCAGAAAATTTTATGATACATTTTCTAAATATGAACTGTAAATTTGTTGATATATTGAGAAAAAAATAGTTATAACCTTAATTTAAATGAAGTTATGCAAATAAATAAACTTCCAAAAGGCAAGTTTAATTATAAATGTACTTTTTAGTTTTTTTTATTATGTTGCTGATTCAAAAATATTAAGTGAAGGCTCATTTCTTAATTTAAGTCCAACCTTAATTAAGTAAACAATAACAATCTCCAGCTTTTTTTTAAGAAAAATAACATATATTAAAAAGAATTGTGTTGTATATTCTTAGGATTTATATTAATATCATAAAAATGTTATTTAAAGTTCATTTTTAGTATAAAGCTGTGATTTGTGTATTAATGGGAGTTAAAAAGTTTATAACAATAATAAATTACCTTATATATTATATTTAAAACATATCTCAAAATAGGTAACAACTTATCAATTAGACTCTGAACTTATATTTAAAAGAGATTCTTTTAATCTCATTTTTGTTTATACCTTTAATGAATTGATTTCTATATTGATTGAGGAAAATTCTCTCTATTTGTCTGAAATATTGATGACATTAAGACAATTTTAATTATTTAGGGGGACATAAACAATTAAAAGACTAAGGCTACCAAGGCATCTTTAAATTTATAAAATCTTTTTTGAAATGAGGCATAAACCCTTTCCTTATGTTATTTATTACTTAAAAGGTCGATTACAAAGAAATTTATTTAATAGAATATCATTTCTAGACTGTTTAACTTAAGAAAGTTAATGTTAGTGTAGTATCTGTTATTTAATGGTAGCTAAACATACCTAGTATTTAGTACCTGTTAGTTTTTATCTCTTATAAATTTATGAGATAAGAGAATTAGAGCTTCTTATTCATAAAATTAATTTTTTAGATAATCAATAATAATTAACTGTACACGCTGACATATTATAGTTATGTTATGAGTTATTATAGAAAATTTTCAAAACATGAAACAATTTTTATCCTTCAAAATTATTTATGAAAAAATTTTTTTTTTAAAAGAATTTCTTATGTTGAAATAAAGTTATTTATTTTGAAACCACATTTTTGTTTTTAATTTTAATTATTTATTTTTCGAATATTTTGTTTTAAAGATGATAAGAAAACAAAAGTGGTTATTTATTGTCTGCGGCTGTTTTCTCAACTCACCTCTTCGCGGCTATTCTTGATGAATGAAAGAACTGTTTAATTTAGGAGTGACTTCTTTGTTATGATTAATTTGTTGTATTTCGATTATATTTTCTAAAACTGTGGGGATTTGATGTGAGAGTGCTCTCTCTTTTTCGTAAAGAGATGCAGCATTCGGCGAAAATGACTCTTTTCACCTAGGCTTTTTACTAAAAATGAAGGAGATGGTTGGGGGATGTTGTGTATGCTCTGACGAGCGTGGTTGGGCTGAAAACCCCCTTGTTTATTGTGATGGCCAAGGTTGTAATGTTGCTGTTCATCAAGGTTAGTGTAATCAATAATTAGCTTTATTGCAATATAGATTAGGTTTTAAAAAACATTATAGTTTGTGGTATTTCCATTAGGTAATTAGTTATGCACAAGGGCAAACCTGCTGTCGCCATCTAATTGGAGGGGAAGGGGGGAATGTTTATAAAAATTTTGATAACTATAAATAAAGCTAAAGAGGATTTATATTAGTTATTTTCTGTTAAAAGGGAGATTCGTTAAGAGAAAACGAACATTCATCTTTAATATTTAATTTTTTGAACTTGAAGATCACACGAAATTTAGAGGTGAAATTTTTTCCCCACAACTTAAAATTTAATTTTGTGTTTTCATTTAGGATTGTTTATTATTTTATTGTTATAAATTAATAAGTTTTTTTTTTCGTGAAAAACCCATTAAATTTGTTTTTCAAGAACAATATTTTCTGTTAAATAGGAGATTCCGTAGGAGAAAGCGAACATTCATCTTTAATATTTAATGCATATATTTAATTTTTTGAACATGTAGATCACACGAAATTTAAAGGGGAAATTTTTCCCCACAACTTAAAATTTAATTTTGTGTTTTCATTTAGAATTTAAAAATAACTCATTTGTTTTTTTTTTTTATTGTTACAAGATTAATTTTTTTTTTCATGAAATACCTATCAAATGTGTTTTTTGAGATCAATATTTCAGAGATCCTCTGAAAATTAAAAGGGTCAAATTCAGTTTAGTGTGTAGTTTAATTTAGTGTATTTTTTGGCAATTAAATGACTATACCAATAAGCTTTAGAAAAGGACTAATTCAGTGTGAAATATTATTAGTTTTTTTTTTAATACTAAAGTGGTACATAATTTCATAATTTGAATAGATCTTTAGAACTGAATAAGAACCCAATGATATAAAAGTTATTGTTACAAATATCATAAATAATTCAAAGATTTGAAATGTTCGAATTTATTATTTTTTAGAAATTAATTATTGTTTACTCTATCCTCTATGATTAGGGGACTAAGAAAATTTTTTTTCACTGTTCTTAACTGAAATGGAAATATTATGTTGCAAATTCTAAAGAAGAATGTCTAATTGCAATCTTTTGGTTAAGCTAAAATAAAATGGATAAGCCACACATAAAAAATAAAATTAATAAGCATTATAGGAAGCCAAAATATTTCTAAAGTCTTCCAAAAAATATTTTGCATGAAAAATTAATAATTTTTAACAGATAACAATAAAGTTATTATGTATCTTTTTTTCTATGACAAATTAATTTCCATATGTTTTTAAGCAGTAACTATATTTCAACATTTTAAATCAATCAGGGGTCTGTCCAGGCCAAATTTACTACCGTTTAGTGGTACCTTCACAAATTCAACTGTAGGAAAAGCGGTAGTTTCACAAAATACTTTTTCGTAAAATTTTATTTTTGTATCCCATAAGAAACGATAAGTCCATATTTTTATGTTGATTTTTTAATATTTTTAATTTTCACAAATTATGTCTACATTTTCACAAAATTGGTACCTCTCAGAAAAACCTAGACAGACCCCTGTCAAGGATTTTATACCTTGAATTTTTTTTCTTTAAAAAAATTAGCAATTTAAAAAATTAAAAATTTGCTACCTTAAAGATTCTAAAAACTAAAATTGTAATTTTTTTAAACAGACCCCTATGATGGTTTTGTGCAAAGTGATTGGAATTAAAAAAAAAAATTTCACCTTTTTAAAAAAAAATTTTTGTGAAAAGAATAGAATTAGATATCTATTTTAGATAGATATTAATCATCAGACTTAGATAAAAAGAGAAACTTTCTGCTAATACAATATCTCAAAAACCTCTGCAAGATAACTTGTAACCCGTTTGGTGAAATTTGTTTGAAAATCACAGATTTGTTTTAAAAATATTTTAATTCTTATAAAACTCCTTATTAATTTTTACCACAGGGAGTTTTGATCGAAAAAAAATCTGAAAATAGAAATCCAGAAATGTTATATGCTGAAGCACTTTTTAAATAATTCTAAAGTAACTGAAATTTGAGGAGGAAAAATATAATGCAAATGTTATTAGCAGTTTAATAAAAATATCGATGGAAGTTTTTTTTTATTTACTTAAATTGTGTGAGTGCAAATCTCGATTTAAGATTTTAAAATCACATGAATACTAGTATCAATATTTGATTTTAAAATTGTGTGAATATGAAACTCGATGTTTGAATTTGAAATCATGTGAATACGAATTCTGCTGCTATTTGATATAGAATTGTGAAAATACAAAACAGGCTGTGCGATCTTAAATCATGTAAATATGAATGGCGATGAGGGATTTTAAATCATGAATGTAATTTGACTTTGCATGGGTGTACAACCTTTTTGACTGAAGGGCCACTTGACTAACAAACCTCCACACGCATATTTAGAAATGTTGACGGAATATATAGTAATATTTATTTAATCATCAATGTTCTGAGAGTTAACTTTTTTTATCAGTAAACTTAGTAACATATTTGAAGAAAATGTTGTTGATGTATGGATGTTTAGGCAGTGCGATTGTTCTTGTTTTCCAGTGTTTAAAAATAAAAAAAACCTGTTAGTTCTAAGAATTCAGAATGATTTTTACGTACCATTTTTGCTATTTTTTTCTTTTTAATATAACACTTTTTAACAAAGCGTTTCAGCTAAGCTATTTGTTTATTATAACTTTTTTTCTATCAACATTTTGTTACAGGAAAAAGAGTTCTAGGTAAGTCAAAAGCTGAATAGATTTTTGAAGCATTTGATTCAATCTCATGATTCACAGTTAAGTCATTAATTAAGTCATGTAATTCGATCTAGTAATCAAATTACTTGAACAGAATTAAGATCCAAATCACTTGATTCGAATCACTGATATAAGTCACTGATCCGAATCACTTGAA